TGGTTTATATTTTTGATGATATTTAACTCCTTCGTTATAATATTGTATTGAGGTTTATTTCATTAATGTGGTTATACAAAATATATTTTGTTGCGCATGTTATTATGAATATGTCGTTACTAAAGAAACATTTTCCTTTGTGATTACTCTGATTGCATAGTCCCTTTATTTTTAGAGGCAAAAGTTCATTTTCTTTCAAAATTCTCTTGATAAATTTCTGTGCGTCTTTTTCTTTCATGTTGCTTTTAGCAAATTATAACCGTTTTCGGATAATGAAAAGTATTTAGACGTCATGAAAAGAAATATAACAGATGTTCTTCCGTATGCTATTCATCAACTGATAAATTGTATAATTGCTATTACAGTGTATGTGTCATTTCTTCACCATGGAGCTGAACATTATATTATTTATATTTTTATGTTAATTAATTAATTATTACGATTTAAGCCTTTAAAATATTCTGCTTTCTGTAGTCTTCACTGGAACGCAAATTATAATTTTGTGTCTTTAAGCTGTAAAATTATTTAAAAAAAACATATCTTTGGAATTTCTGATAGACAGCCTCGCGCGTTGGAAAAAAAATTCTGTACAATGTTGCCACTGCTCGCTTTGAAATCGTTGAGTTTGTTAATCAAAAATTCGTTAAAGTTATACAAATATGAAATAGGTAATAAAACAAATTCCAAATTCGGGCTTCCAGGTGCCCATGTCTGGGTGGGGAACTACGTTATTGAAAATTTGATGGCTCTAGTTACCTTTGTTTTTTCGCAATTTGAAAAATTAAACAGATATTTAGAGTGAACCGACGTAAAATGCCGTCTCGAGACTAATAGACTTCTGCGCTGATAAATTATTTTTTTAAAGTTGTTCACTAAATTTACCTTTCTGACAGGTTTCTCAACTTAAGGATTACCAGAATCACCATGGGCGTGTTTCCCTCTCAGTTTCCATCAAGAAATGGGTTGGAAAAACTTCCTGTTTCACTATATCGGAGGAAGCTGGCAATCACTTTTGCCTACTGGAGTCTTCTCATTATAAAGAAAAGAAGTCTATTGTGTTTATCTTAACTAAACAGAGATTATCAAAAAGGGATATATTAATTGGATACCAATTTCCTCTGTATTATCGCTTTGCCATTCTTTATTATATTTTCGGTTCCCTAGGGCTTTCTTATGGTATACTACACGTGGCGATGTCCAATAACTCTCTTACAATTTAATCCTGATTGATTTTTCTTTCTTTGTAAATTCGTTCTCACTATTACAATCGTCCCGATAGCTTGTCCAAGTGTCTCTGGTCCTCTCTACTAATCGCAGTTTGATTTTTAGCCCTATTAAGCTTTGATCTACAGTATAAGCAAGATATTAACTAGTATGATATCAGCAGAAAAAAAGGGAATTAAAAATGACTGGTTACCGAATTCCAATGCATAGCCATTTTCTCTGGCAACATTGCCTCAGCTTCGAGTTTTCCGACCAGTGGTTCGTGGTCTAAAAAAGTGTTTGACTTTGGGCTCTGGCTCGTATCCCGAGAAGATATAAGAGTTTGTAAATATACTGTCTGTGCTGCATTTGGCCACTTAAAATACATGGCCATTCGAAAATCTTGTCGAATAGTTTGGTGTTAGACAAAGAAGGATAGGAGACTCACGGTCCGTCCGATGTCTCTTTTTTAAAAAACACAGCAAATGTAAAACTGGTAAAGTCGTATTGTCACCTATATGACGCTCAAAGCCCATGCCAACGGCACAAGCAATCTTACGTTAATTAAGCTTTTAAAGATAAAATACTTCCTTTTTACTTCGTACAAGGAAGTTAAAAGACTATGCAAAATCATTAATTTTGAGAACGAAATTGGAAATCGTGTTGCAGAAAGGATGTTTGATGTTGGTAAAAGTTCCATATGTGAATGGAAGAAAAATGAAATCATAATAATGGTTACAACCGAAATCATCGCGGCAAAAACATTGCGGAAGAAAACGTCGCGGAGAAACCAAAGCAAGGCGAAAACGTCATGATACAAAACTTCGTGAGAGAAAAGAAATCAAAGAGAAAACTTCGCAGTTCTGAAACATCGTGGTATAAAATATCGTCGACGAAAGTAAAGCGGTTAAAAACTTCGCAGTTTAAAAATATCGTGGTATAAAAAAAAGATCTTACAAATCATCGCATGACGATAACATCGCACACAAGCGTCTTTCAGGTTATAAAAGTTGTAAATGCATATTCGCATAAAGATTTGAAAGCTCAAGAAATGCTAACGACACTTTAAGAATAAACGGAAACAAAGCAAGATATAATTTCCACCAAACCAATATCAGATTAACAAATGTGAAAGAAAATAATCTGATAATTAACTAAGCAATTTTTATAGAGGTAACCTCATGCAGTTATTTATCTTCCTCTTTCTAAGCATTTTTGGCTGTATTTTTCATGAAAAATTATGAGTAAAACTTTATAAAAAAGATTAATTTTTAATGTCCTTTTTTATTAACTATGTAAATTTAAAATTCTATTAAGTGCTAAAAGTTGCATTAATTTCTACTCATTTTCAGTTTTTAAATGCTCAGTTTTCCTTTTTTTTTCAGCAAAATTTTATCAGTTTATTCCAAAATATGAAATATAAAAGTACAAATATCCCTATTTCCTTCTCGCGTTTCCAAATCATTATGCAAAAATGGATCTACAGCTTTTAAAACGTGAAAAACGTATGTTTGCGATGTTATTGCCATGCGATGATTTGCAAGTATTTATTTTTTACCACAAAATTTTCGACGGCGATGTTAAAACTGCGAAGTTTTTGAATCGCTTTAGTTTCGACGACGATACTTTGTACCACGATTTTTCCGAACTGCGATGTTTTCTTTTTGCTTTCTTTTCTCCCACGATGTTTTCTTTTTGCTTTTTCTCCCACGATATGTTTTCGCCTTGCTTTGTTTTCTCCGCGGTGTTTTCGGCAGACACCATAATAATTAATGTGCAAAAAATAAATTTCTTTCCATAAAAGTAACGGAATGGCCTATCCTAGAAGAAGTTGTTGCGAAATTTGTTCTAGAAAATTGCCGGAATCATCCGAAACAGCATTTAGGTACATGTAGAAATCTGATTTTTCCATGTTCATCTTTTTCTTTTTTTTTTTTAAATCTAGCATTTTTATGTCCGGAGTATAACGTACTCCCGTAAACTTCGATCTTATTTTTTTTTTATTAAAAGTGCGCTTTATACGAAGTATATGGTAGTTTTATGGCCACAAAAATCTTTAAATTACGTACTTGAAATAAAAAAGAGCAAATATAAAAAGTTAAAATTCAAGTTAAGTCTAATAGTTATCATCATTAATTATCATCAGGCCCACCAGCGGCCGAGCGGTAATGTCACTTAACACTGGTAGTTCGGTCCGAGGTTCGAATCCCGCGAACGGGCTGGCTGCATGGGTGTTTTCGTGGTTTTCCCCATGTGTAACGTGTATACGAGCCAGTTTCCCTTAGAAAGTCCTCCACGAAAGGCATCCCTCCCCTTAGGCAGATAGCCCTAGTGTGCTTTGCCATAATTAAATACACCAACACCATTACATTATCATCAATTATGATAAGTTAATTATCATCAAGTTATGTCTTAGAAATTTAGTAAACAGAATCCGAAATTGCCCTGCAATAATAATGAAAATAATTAAAGTTAAACGGTGTGTAATGCGTTGTGCGTGTGTGTGTTTATGTGTGTACTATTGTACACACACAAGTACTATTGTACTTGTGTACTAGTACTATTGTACTTGTGTTGAAGCTATGGTCCGAGAAATGTGACCGGTGAAAAAAATGCTGCTATTAAGTTTCTCCCCCCCTTCTTAGCATGCCTTCTTAGTGTAATGGCCAGCCCACTCAGGAAAGTATTTGAGAGGTCCGAGGCTCGAGTCCTGGCGGATGCATTGCTCATTTTTTACGTCTCTCAGTTAAAAAAAAAAAAAAAAAAAAAAAAAAAAAAAAAAAAAACTCTTAATGTCTCTACAGTGGCACCCGAACTAAAAGAGGTGGTGGATGATGGTTCTCCACCACCAGGATTTGGCGACTCCTCTAATTCCTAGTCGCCCTTTAAAAGAGGGTGTACATAAGGTATTTCTCTCTCGCCTTCGTAGTCTAATGGCCAGCACACTCGGAGAGTATTCGTGAGGTTCGAGGTTCGAGTCCCGGCGGGAGCACTGCTAGCTTTTTTACGTCTGTTGCCCCTCGAAAAAAATGAATATGAAAATTATCGTTTTTACGAGTTTTTAATTAATATTAATTAATATCTCTGATTTTATCTATTTTTTTAATTTATTTATTTATTTGAAAAAAGTCGACTTTTTCCAGGACACAGAAAAGAATTGTAAAAAGTTTGGTAACGATAGCTATAGTAGTGACTGAGTTATTAAAGGACAACCAAAGACACAGACTCTCTTCTTTATATATATATATAGATAGATAGATAGATAATAACCACTTTAAGTTGATATATCTAAACTGACAAATGAAATTATCTCGAAATCCTGTAATCCATGTTAAAATGAATAAATATATAGACAGATAAGATAATAAATTAACTTTTCCTTCATTTGTAACCATATATTTGGGTAAAATTGTATCAACCAAGAAACATTTGCCAGTTCAGCGGAAGTGCCATGTGCGGTCAAGGCTATCTGCCTAAGGAGTGAGATGCCTTCGTAGAAAGATTTCGGAAAAAAAAAAAAAAAAAAACTGACTTTGAGTACATATTAAATATAATGAATGAAATTTTTAATTTATATTTATACACAATTCTTGTGTAAAAATATTTAAAAGTGGCCAACGGAATGGGACAATAGCGACTTAGGGCGTCGTACGCACGATTTTCTTCCAAAAGTCTGCATAAATAGACTTTACTCTGCCTCACAGCTTACTAGATATATCGTAGCGGATATGACTCATTCTCCGAGTATTTCTTCATTCTGGCTCTCACGAACAAGGACCTTTGCATTTGCGGAGCACAAAGAATCCGTGACCATTACATCGCGGAATACGAGAATTTATTTTCGCTATAAAAGCTGAGCTTGTATCAAACATTGACTAGAGCTTGAATTCGAGATTTCTTTTTCCTGGAAGGAAATGACGTGCGAAAAACACTTCCGAATGAAACTGTCGTATAAAGAATAGTTCATGAGTGATAAATTTGAGCAGAAGACATCGTTAAAGATACAGCTAACATGGATATTAAGCATATCCCGAGAGGTGTACTTTACTTTCTTACCATATGTGGTTTGGGTAAGCTCCTTACACTCTTGCTATAACGCAATTAGAATTTAATTTTTATCAGAGCTCTTTTATAATTGGAGCATTCTCAAAATATTTTATACTCTTTTTTTTTTTTTTTTTTTTTTTTTTTTTTTTTTTGTTTTGTTTTGTTTTGTTTTTTTTTGTACGTGTGACCTTCCTATGATTTCAAGTAGCTCATATTACTGAAAAAAAAAAAAAAAAAAAAAAAAAGCAATGAAATAATCATGAAATTTTTAAAGTATGTGCTCGTTCGTAGCTAACAGATTTTCGTACATTCAGAGTTATACGACATTTGATTATAAGAGAAGGGAAATCTGGAACACATTAACTGCATGCTTTATTTTTTCGACACTTCCATAAATATGATTTTGTGGTTTAAGATTACTGAGTTTACTATAAGTGAGTTCATAGTGCAACGATAATGCTTTAATCGGTATAGTAGTTAGCGAGTGCTGATTATAACAGATGAGCTCATGTTAAAATCTCGGGCAATATGAACGTTTGTATAAAGTATTTTCCACCTGTCTTCTTAGGTAGCTTTTGCATGTTTTGCCATATTCTGTTAAATATATGTTATGTCTCCTCTTTCTCTGCTTTACTTTATTATTTATTTATTTATATTGAATTTAGTTATTTAGTTATTTTATTTTGTTTTATTTATTTATTTATTTTGCTGTAACTTTGGATCAGTTAGGTAGCATTCTTTGTGATAAGAGGGCAAAATGGCAGATGTGTATTCAAATTTCTTGAGAAATGTTACATAATTATCAACTGCTTGTCAGTTTAAAAAAAAAGAGTATTTCATATAATCTATACGATAATAACTCAAGCGTATAATAAGGTATAATGGAGGCTTATGGGTTGACTAACTTCTTTGAAACTCTGCATTATGTCGTGATCAGAATGCAATGTTAATATTTTTCCATTAATAAAGTATGTCCTGAATGCATTAGAGCAAGCCGCTTGGAAGTTTTGTTTAAATTTAGCATTTTTGCTTAAAATTTAGCAATCTTTCTTTAGCTTTCTATAATATCTTCACTTTTCCAAGTTCAAACTTAAGCTAGGAATGGATAATGAAATAGCAACAGCATTATTGAAATTGTTTAGAGTTATAATTGTTTAGTAAATTATATCCATATCCTTGGAAAAAGAAAACTTAAGACAATCATTCCAAGGTCTCTTTGGCCCACCAGCGGCCGAGCGGTAAAGTCGCTGAACACTGGTAGTTCGGTCAGAGGTTCGAATCCCGCGAACGGGCTGGCTGCATGGGCGTTTTCGTGGTTTTCCCCATGTGTAACGTGTATACAAGTTTCCCTTAGAAAGTCCTCCACGAAGGCGTCCCTTCTCTTAGGCCGATAGCCCTAGTGTGCTTTGCCGTAATTAAAATACACTGGTGTGCAAAAATTAAGGACGAGATGGTTTTTTCAATATAACTTTGTACAAAAGCTTTCCAAATCAACACATTTAATACCGTAATATCCCCAATACGTAAGGACATGAGTAATGTAAGCAACACTTACTAAAAGAGAAATCAGAGGGATAAAAAGAAGCTGTATTGAAAAAGTAGCATGGAGCGCAATGCGACTGAAGGCCGAAACATCCCTGTGATGGGTGTCCAGTAAGAAACATCCGATCTTTAATAGCGGATATGATCTCCCCTGATATAATCCTAAAATAATTTGCGAAATGTCTATAGGCAGAAGAGGTAGGAGATGAGTGATGTAATCTATTTGTTTTATATTAACTTTCTCACATTGTCTTTCAAAAATTTGCAGTTAGGTTGTAATGTCAGAAGTTCCTTGTAAATTTAGGGATTAGGTGCTGAATATTTGTTCCAATAGCTGCAATTAAAGCAAAGGCGGCATAGGTTAGGGTTTGAGCTAGCAGCTGCCAGGTTTAATTTTAAACGTTTCAATTCTAATAAAAGTTCTTGTTCTTTTCTTTGACGTGTCTCCAGATCGTTGCTTCATGTTGTTTTTGTTGTCTAGTTTCGATTAAAGTTTCCAGAAGATTCCTGGTAAAAGCCTCATCATAAGTGTCAGAATTGACAATAAGATCTTTAAGATCTATTACTCGCATAGTGTCGTTTACAGTGAAACCCAGTCTGCAGCGAGAGTTTTTAAATCCTCTTTTTCGTGCTTTGGCAAGGTAAGCCATAATTATATGAGTGGTCAGGGAGGAGGAAAAAGATGAAGTTGAATTTGTTATTTTCCATTTATTCACAATACAGTATTTAGAATTAATAATTATACCTTTAAGTAAAATGTATATACCCCTATTAAACAGCATGTATGAATGTAAACAATGTTACTCGTACATTTATATACCACTATTAAACAGTATTTATAAATGTAAACAATAATACTCACAAAGTTTATTATTTCGGAGTCGTAAAAATATCATAAAATGCCCTCATAAATTCAACTTGTATCAAGAAAATAACATATAAATTGCTCAAAAATTGTTTACTACTTAGCAAAACATACAAAACATACATAAATGTCTTACCATAAGCTTTTATATTTAAGCTGAATTCTTCGAAATCTTAATCTTAACAAAATATTAAGCTGATTAAGCAGCACACACTCTTTTACTTTATTTAAATAGTCATTCGATTTTATTCATAATTATTTTCTTTCGCTTCAAGAAATATTTTCAAAACATGCATTCATTAAAGGAAAACAATCGTATTTTCTTAAAGTATTATACTATAATCATGTTCTCAAAATGTTCGTCGAAAGATAAATCAACAAGTACAATATTTTATTTTAAGTAGAATAAAACATTTAATAAGGAACAACAGCACTCAAAGGAAATAAAATAATAAAAGATTTGACGTAAACACATCATAAATCATCGGTAGTCTAAAAATTTCCGCGGGGGGAAAACATCTGCTGCTGTATGTCAGAATCGAAACTAATAAATTCTAATGAACAACGTCCATGAATATATTCAAACTTTAACATCAAAACATGTATTCAGTGAAACAATATTATTCACAAATTAATTTACTATGCGCATTAACATTTTAAAATAACAAATTACAATTCAAGAAATAACGTTTGGTTTCGTTTAATACTCTTATGTAGTATCAATAAATGAGATTTCAGTAAAGAATTTACATTTGCTTTAAGAAGCAGCTTATAATAAATAATCAGTTTAAAAGAACTTTAAACTCAGATTAAACGATAATGTAAACGAAACTTATCTTTTCCGTTGAAATTGTCCAGTTGATGATTCGATGTGCGAGCAGCGCGGTATGACAATTTTAATTCCAGAATTGGTTTCCAGAATATTTGACCAGTAGTCCACACCTGAAAAGAAACTGAGCCGATCTCCAGCAACTAAAAGTTAAATTCGGGAGTAAGAGCTTGTTAAAGCCAAACAGAAATTCTAAACATTTTGTTGCGCCATTTTGGATTCAAATTTAGTTGGGCGCCAATGTGATGTAGCCGTTCCTCAATAGACACCAATGCCGGCTAGCTTTAAAAGGATTTATTAACAGAGCACACAGGAACGGTTACAAACAAAAGAAATATACATAAAAATGAAACATATACCAAATGGAACATCAAACAGTTGAATAACAGAGACATAGTAAACTAACATCATGGCGGCTGGAGTTCGACTGACGTTTTTACATATCGCCGCGAGATGGCGTTTAAATAAAATAGTTCGGTTACAGTTCATGAGTTCATGGCGTGAATAAAATAGTTCAATTACACTTAAATAGGTCTGTTACAGTTTCATGTTATGTATATGCATATATAATATTCCAGTTTTATACAAAAATTTGCTTAAGCAATTAACATATTCGGTTTATAACTATAAAAAGTTATAAACACATTAATTTGTAGATACATTAGGTAATTTCGAAGCAGGAGAGATGGAAAATGAGCAACGCCTTCGCCGGGACTGGAACCACTGATCTTTCGAATACGCGCCGAGTGCTGATCACAGCACTACGAAGGCATGCTAAGAAGGTGGAAGAAATACTTTATAAATTTACACCCTGAGTTACAAATTTGAGAAATACTCGGGAGAAATACTGCATTTCATAACAAAACTTCACATATTAAAGAAACTTTGCAGATTTCTGAAAAACTTGTGCCTTTACCACTCGTGGACATATTTCCAGTACCTTCAAGTCCCAAGGTAATTCAATCTATAAACTGGAATATTATATTACTTACTATAGTAAGTAACCTTAGGAAGATACTATTTGCTTTATTTCAGACTCATTTCTCAATTTAATAATGCTTAAATTGCCTGTTAATGAACTAATCGTTGTTTTAATCGTTATTTAGATGTTTTAATAAAATAGCATTTTTTTTTGTCAGTGTTTAAAAGCACATTCTTTTAAGTATGCATGAAATTGAAATAATAAATATCATGAAAGCTTAAACATGCTTCGAAAACATAAATTTCATCTTTAGTGATACGTAAGTATGCATTTTCTGTTATCCTTTTTACTTGTCCTTTATGCAAATAACATTTATTGCAGGTTTGTGCTGTCACTCTGGAGATGTAGAAGTGGATGGTAAATGTTATCTGTTATCCAGACAGAAGTTCGATTTCCGATCTGCCAGGTTAATTTGCCAAATTTATGAAGGTGATTTAGCTTTTATCAATAGCAGCAGACTAATTAGCATAATAGCATCAGGCTTCACTAAACCAGCATTTGGTAATTTTGTTTTTATTTCCTTTATGTAAATATTTATTCACTTTTGTTATTTTTTGATGAAATGAGACAACTTGAAATTATAAAGCTGAACTTAATGCTTGTGAACATTTTTGGAGCAGTTTTTAAGTTATTGCTTTTAAGTCAGTTTTTATTTTAGTAATTTATTTTTCTTTTAAAACATGAATACTTCCCACGCCTGGTGCCTTTACAAAAAGTCTTAGAAGGTTCCCTCTCTTCACATATTCCGCTTTCTTTTCTCTAAAATTATTCCATAAATACAAATATTTTTTTATTTCTTCAATAATATTTGATTTCGGATTTCACAAAAGCGTTAAAGTTTATTATTTATTTACCGTATTTACGCGAATCTAATGCGCATCGTTTTTGGACAAATGTAGTACTCAAAATTGGGGTGCGCATTAGATTCGATGGCGCATTAGATTCGAGTGCAAAGTTCGCCGATGACGTCAGCAGTTCGCCGATGACGTCAACCGAATTAAATCGTAACAATGGATTACTGTATTTCTCGACTACATTTACCGTTACATTTATCGTTGACACATTATTGCATAGAGGATACAAACTGCAGAGTACGTAGTCACGAGATGGAGAACAAGCTGAGAAGAATGTCATATGACGCTACTTTCAAACGTAAAGTAATTCTTTATCCTGAAAGAAATGGCAATAGAAAGGCTGGGAGAGAGTTAAACGTAGCTGAGAGCAATGTTCGCTTGGCGGCAACAGAAATTGGCACTGTTTGCAACTAAAACTAGTAGAAAGAAATTCACTGGGCCTCGCAAAGGAAGACACCCTAAAATTGAAGAAAAAGTTTTGGAATTTGTACGTGAAAGGAGGAAGAATGGACAACCTGTGACTAGCGACACTATAAGAAATAAAGCAAAAGAGGAGGGCTGAAGTTCTTGGAAATTACCGAAACGAGAGTTTAAAGCTAGCCGTCGATGGGTGGATCGGTTTATGAAGCGAATGGGCTTATTTCTAAGACGCCGTACAACAATATGCCAAAAGCTTCCTGCAGATTTTGAGGGAAAACTACTAACATTTTAGCGGTATGTCATCACACTTCAGAAAGAAAAGAATTTTTCAATGGGGCAAATTGGCAACGCTGACGAGATGCCAATTTGGTTTGATATGCCTCATAACTACACCATTACGGAGAAGGGGACTAAAAAATTTATCATCAAAATAGTGAATAAAGACGTTTACTATTAATCACTGATTGTAGAAACTGTTAGCTAGATAGAAATGTTACCATTTATTTCATGTTCATACTTTACGATATGTACCGTATATACGGTAGTGGTAATTAACAATGATTGTTTCACATAACAATAGCCCACTAATAGGTTAATTCTATGTTCTGTTACTTTATGTATAAATCCATTGTTGTATAAAATATGGTATCTAAATTTAAATAAAATTATCATACCATTGATTGATAGTTTATATACAAATCCATTGTTGTATAAAATAAGATTCAATAAATTCCTCATACCATTGATGCGCATTACATTCGCCGACAAACAATTTTTTTATTATTTAAAGTTTTAAAATGGGGATGCGCATTAGATTCGATGGCGCATTAGATTCGCATAAATACGGTATTTACATTGAACTTCCCGCCTAAGTAATCTTGATTGAATCATCAACACTTTCCCTTTCTTTTGATATTTGCGGATATAATGCACTTTAAATTATCACAGTATCATTTAACTCTTTCCCAACTGACTCATTTTTATACTCTCAATCTCAATAATTTCGTTTTCGAAATGCATGATTAATAGATTGTTTAAATGAAGAATTTCATTATTTTCAATAACTGATAGCGATTAGTCACCAGATCATCAAAATGTTCGGCTTCTTCGATAGGATGGCATTTAGCTTCATGGTATTTGCTACACGTTTCTCTAAGTGTTTTAAACATTTTGTTTCTTACATTATTTTAAGCTATAGCAGCCTTGAAAAATTGTAATTTTTGTACTGAACTGAACTGAGAAGTCCTAGATACTGCATTCAGAGTTTAACAAACTTTAGCCAGAAGAACTCTTTTTTATTTACATTTAAAACTTTGAATAATTCTTTTATCCATACATTGGATTAATACTGTTTAACTTCTGATAAAAGTGAAAGTTTGAACAAAACTGTTATTTAAGTGCTCACGTGCAATAATATTATTTGATGTTGTGTTGAATATTTTATTTTAGTTTAATATTTTGAAAACAATGTTGTTAAAAGTGTGATGGCAACTCTTATGAAAATCTTTCCTTTTTTAGCTGATCGTATTCAGATAATATCCCTCTTTCTTTAACTGAGTTTAGAAGGAGATAAAGTTATTTCTGTATAAATAAACCGCATCGTCGATGTTGAGAAAATTCCTGTTCTTTCCGCAAAAAAAGCGCATTAGTTTTTACATTAAGTGAATTATTTCCTTTGTGTTTCATTAAGTAAAATACATTGATATTTTACAGGTCCGTAGACGGTTAGTCACGGTATCTGAAACTGTTACGTTAATTTTTCTTTTGCGTACCGTAACAGTAACAACAACCAAAAATGGCGAAATCATGCAAAGCAACTGGCCGAGGTTTTGCCATATGAAATGCTATTAGATACAAATTTACGACAGGAATTTGGTCGAAAATGTTGCCAGATTCTTAAGCATGCTTATCTTTTAGAAGCTGAAATATCTAAATTTTATTACAGTAGGGAGAATTGGTTGGTTTAATTTACTACAATAAAAGATGGGAAAGCCATCTGTCCTAGTCTGTCGATATTGATGTGTAGAATTTTCTATCGGATATTTTCTCATATTCAAGAAAATACGAAGAAATATGTAGAAACTACTAAGTTGTTCCATCTGCATTGCCAAAAATAAATAAACTATCGGTGTTTAATGATCTTACTTTTTTGGACACTGTTGGACCTGGAGAAAATGTAAAATTTCATCCAATAGTAGCAATAACAACTGATATAGCTCAGGATTAAGAGTTGAAATATATGATAGGGATCTATGATTCTAGTCCTAAAAATGTGACACATTCTCATGTCATTAAATTAAGTCAGGTTGACGGGTTTTATTTCATTTTCCTAACAGTTAATTTTTATTTTGGATAGAGCCCTCATTTTCCCAGCTATGTCTTCCTACCAGAATAAGTTTTCACTTTTTCACGCTTCATGCGAAGAAGGGTAGAAACTACTATTCAATTTAGGTCTGAACTAATTCAGACAAAGCATGTTCTGCCTTTGGGCCATTGTTGTTGCCAATAATTAAGCTTACTATACCGACAATGTTAAATTTGCCATTTTCGATGTACTTTTTCTCAAAATCTGCTGTATATACACGCTTGAAATTTTTTGTGTAATTAAAGTATACCTATCTGATCATATTGAAATGAGCTTTTGAAACATTTTGAATTTTAGAGTAATTTACAGAATATTTTGTTAGGCATAGTAAAATTTAGCACTTTTCTCACACAAAAAAACTTTTTAAAATTTTTTTTTTTATTTTAAGTTATCATCACAAAAAGCTCATTTCAGTAAATATTAGGAAACCTAATAAATAAGCCACAAAAATTTTAGATACCTGTAAGCAGTAGATCCTGAGAAAAGGTACATCGAGTATAAAAAAATCACGTTTGGAGAAAAACGCGTTTTTATGTAAAAATCCTCATTGATCAAAGCAGTCGATGACATATTAAGACTAGATTTTTTTACAGTTCTAATTTTCATAGAGATCAAAGAATGGTAATTTTAGAAAGATAAAAGTGTAGAGAATTTGAAAATGCAAAAATCCGAAATCCCAATTTTTTGGAGATTTTGGGATTCCAACACCCCTTAAGTTTCTACATTTAATTTAAAGCCGTAAGTGCTGTATATTTGAGGTTTTAAGTCAGACCATCTGTGAATCGATTTGAGTTGAAATAATAAAAATTGAGTCTTTTCACTCTTCTTCCTGAATTATTACTGGCACAATAGGACTTAGCGAATAGCCGCTTCACAGTTCTAGTAGGTTCAAGCATTCAAGTAACATTATTTAAGCTAAACCTCGAGCTTAAATAATGTTAGTTGAACGGTTAAAAGGTGAACAAATTCCCTAATATTATAATAAAAGACACTAAAGATGCCTTCTGTGCAGGACCCAAAATTATATTTAAATTTTGCATAAATGGTTTAGTCATATACTTTGACCCATAAACTCAAATGTTTATGTGTCATAGTATATGACTAAAATCTCCATAAATACTGTGTCATTAGCTAGAGAAAATCGTGCTATACTTGTTTCATTATTTATTTAATCTAGATCAAGGCATTTCGTATTGGGTGAAAGAACTCAGTTACGTCAGGGATACAATCGATTACACGAAAGCATTAAACAATCCAGTGTCAAATCGAACGTCAAGAAATCATCAAAGATTAAGAAAACGTGCTGCATTAACAACGTGTCCTTACCTAAAAAATAAAGTAAGTTTTCTCATTCAAATTTTGATTATAATATTTTTAGCTAACACTGTCTATCAAATATTTTCTTACTCTCTTTCGAAAATAAGATTCGTGTTCCCTTGAAGCAAAATTTCAATGCCTTTTAGTCTGGCTGATATATGTCAAACTATACTGACAAGCCATACTATGAAATGTCCCAGAATCAATGTCAGAGTTGAAATTTTTAACGATTAATCAACAAATTTTAAGGGTAACAAAATTAACTGAAAGTTAATTAAGACGAATCCATATGATTTTAATAATTAATAGAAGAAGAAATAAAAGGACGACTAGGTTATGATAGACCGGTACTATTCCTAACAGCTCTTATTTTAGCAAGATGAAAATGTTTCAACAGCTTTATCAATGTTCGCCGGAGAAGATTATTGTAAATGGCAACCGATTTCAAATAATACAGTTCATTAGAAAGTAAATATTTCTGTATACCAAACATTGAAAGTGCGATGAACATACAAGTAAATTGTGTGTTTAGCAGGATGACGTAATTTAGCGCAGGGAGGTAAACAAAGAGGAACGATTTTACAGGAAACAGGGGTGCTAAAATGAAATTCATTTTGCATAGTTAAAATATGAAATAAAGGAAGGTAATTATAAGATTCAGTTTCAAAAGTGAACTGTATGGCTTGATCAATCGAATTCAGAGCAGATACGAATCTGGATTAAATAGTCTTTATTCCGATCAACATGTGCTAAAATGTCATCTATGTAGCGAATCTAGAATCGAAATAATACTTAATCAAATAATTTTACCTTAAAATAGTGCATGTAAGGTCAGCAATTTCTAGAATTAAGGGGATGTCTCAGATCTAAACCTTCAACTTGTCGATAGTAATTATTTTGGGAAACGAAGTTGGTTTGACTTTAAGAAACGTTAGAGAAAGAGAAATAGCTTCTCAGTTTCAGAAAAGAATTCCCAAAGGGAGGTTTCGAGAAATTTTAATGCTCCATTATTGAATGTTAGTAAAAAACCACTGAGCATCAAAAGAAACGATAACTAAGTGCTGAGGAGATATACAATCTTTTAAGTTTCTCGACGACGAAAAAGAATGTGAACAGTTTAAGTATTGTTTAAAAGGAGACAGAAAAATCTCAAGAATAAATGTTTGGCTAAAAGGTATGATGCTATTCCTATGTTTGAAAGTACAGTGAGATCTCGATTTTTTAAACTGCGGTGCGAGCATATAAGAAAATGTAATATTCCTTTTACCTTAATTTAATCTATTTAGTTAATTTTTCTCACTAAAATTTAAGTCAACTCTTTGTTATCCAAAATAATTATTATCTAAAAATTGAAAATTTAGCTGTAGGTATTCTCCTCAGTCGAGTACTTACTAACATTTACATGCACTATTTTGATGTCAAATTATCTTTTCGGCTCTGGAATCGTTACAAAAATGACACATTTAAGCTTTCTAATGGTAATGAAGACGAATTAACCCAGATTTTGCTTTTATTCATCTCATTGATAAATCCATCCATTTCACTTTTGAAACTGAATCTGACAATTATCTTCCTTTCCTTGATATTCTTATTATCCGCAGTGAAATTGATTTCAGCCAAACTATTTACCGTAAGCCTTTCTTGTGTTTGTTAGCATCCCCATGATAATTCGTACCACCCTGCTGAAAAAAAAATTGCATCTTTTTATTATTATATATATCATGCTCACAAAGACTGTACATCCGAAGCTTTGCTCTATAATGAATTCAATTATTTGAAATCGGTTGCCATTGGCAAAGTATTTTCTCCCAGGATCCTTGATGAAGCTTTTAAAAATGTTCGTGTCCCTAAAATCTTGTATCGTCTTCCTTCGTCTTTTAAAAATTCTGCTGTTAGTAATAGCCTCAGTAACCTTGTAGTCCTTTCATTTCATCCTTCTCTCAGTTATAAAATTGCATGGATTTTCCAAACGTTCAAATTTAATTTCTACGCCAGGGTCTTTGTTTCTCGGCTGCGAATTTCGACAAGAATTTACAAATTTCATATGGAGTTCGAATTTACTTTTGGATAGTTGTCTACGTGTATCCTCTGAGATGATACCAGGCAAAGCTAATATGGTGAAATTTCTATCATCTGAGGTGTAATTTCGAGAAACGATTAATACTAGTTGGTGAAGACATATTTATAAAATGAAGAAATAGTATAAGCTCTGAGTTAAGTAGCCAATCAAACGTTTACTATTATAAGTAATAAAAAGAAAAAAATTAAAGTATTGAACGAGCGAAAATTCAAAAATGAAAAGAGGTAAAACTAAACAAAAAAGTTTTAAAAAAATCTACTCGAAAAAAGGGTAAAGTATAAATCAAGAATAAATCAGATTGAAACATACCGAAATCCACATAAAAATAAAATCCAAGAAAAGCGGAAACACCGCAAGGAGTAACAATTGATGCAAGTCTGGTTTATTTAAATTCCGCAAAGCACTCCAGGATTATATGCCTAAGAATATGGATGCCTTCTCGGGGGACTCTCTAAGAGAAACTGGCTTGTATATATGTCACACATGTGGAAAATTACGAAAATGCCATGCAGCTAGCCCCTTCGCGAGATTCAAACCTCGGTCCAAACTACCAATATTCAGCGACTTTACCACTCGGTCGCTGGTGGGATCAACTTATACAAAATTGTGAACAAAACATACCGAAAAACTGCAGACGAGCTCTTTTTGCCTTCACCATCAGTCGTTTCGCAATACTATGTCTCAAACGATAGACATTTCTAATTCAATTTTATTTTGTAATAAAATTAGTAAAATTTTAAGAAATGTATATCGTCGATTTCATTCATATTAAATTCAATAAAAAAAACTGTGCAGTCGCATTTCAAGTTTTCTTTTTAATTGTAAATTGGCTTTATTATGCCACATCACAAAAATATACATAGATAATTATTCAAAACTGAATTTAATTACATAAGCTTCATTTAAAATGTGCAAGTTCGTATCGAAAAATGAAAGTCCATATAATATGATCCTGAAATATCATCTTAAATGCCTTTCAAAACCTACTAAATGCTTGTCATCTTCTAACCACTCAAAAATAAAAACCGCGAAAAATTAAATCTTCAAAAATTTCTCCGGTTCACTTACAAAAATTACTTATCCCATCTATTGAGAATTTCTCCATATTACATGCGCTTCCCAAAATAGATAATAATTGTATTTATGCGTCGAATGCTCGTACTAAACTTAAGCACTCCCTCTAGTCGTTAACTAAATGCTTAGTTTTCAGATTGTTTTGCTTTACTGGTCAGTAATATTCACAACATGAAAATTCAATACATTCTTCAATAAATGGAAATACATTTCTCCTAGAAATTCCATCATCTTTCCATCTGAAGTAAAGTTATTCACCTGTGTTCCAGAGGAAGATGCGCTTAAATATCCAAAAGGTAGGCTTAGAGAATTTCTCTTGTCCCGAAATTGATAATTTAATTTCATTTACTGAACTTTTCCTGAAACAAATACATTCCAAAATAAACGTTCCCACCAGACGATAGGGGTCAGCCATGGAAACCCTCTCAGTCCTATCCGTATGGATTATTATGAATCCAAATTGTTTGAAATAGCAAACTTCAAAGTTGGTTCAGGTATGTTTACGACATTTGCTCTTGTTTGACTATTACCGTCAAAGAAGATTTAAATAAAATTCTTTCATTGTTAAATACTATTGATTCTACTATTTATTTCACCTTTGAATCTGAGACTCTGAATTTCCCGCCGTTTTTTAACATCCTGGTCTATGTAGTATATTGTTACGAATTTTTGTACATAGATAGATAATTTTTGTGAAATTGTATTTGAAATTGTTATATTTTTTTCTATAATGTGGCATGAAAAGCTGACCGAAATGAAGCTTTGCGGGAAAAATTACAACACAGGGCAAATCTATTTAACATTGAGTAAATGGCTATCTCGCTATTTTTGTACATAGATAGATAATTTTTGTGAAATTGTATTTGAAATTGTTATATTTTTCTCTATAATGTGGCATGAAAAGCTGACAGAAATGAAGCTTTGCGGGAAAAATTACAACACAGGGCAAATCTATAATCTATTTAACATTGAGTAAATGGCTATCTCGCTAATTTGGTGAGATATCGCCAAAATATCAACGGTTTTGTCAACTAATTTTATCGACAAAGGTCGCCAAACGTGGCGACCATTTGGCGGTATTTTGTTCAGGTCTTTGTATCGCCATAATAGGTACTGTAATTGAATAACTGTAATTGATCACTATATTGGCTGTAATTTTATCTGGGCCTCATATGCTTTCCAGTTATTTCGAGAACCAGAAATTATTAGAAATATCTCGGCGACCGGGTAGAAACTATGTAAGGCCGGAGAGTGTATCAGTTCTCAGTTTTCTCAAGAAAGTTTTACAGAAGAATGGTATACACACCCGGGTACCTGGGCCGAAGGCTCTACCCCTTATCGAACAATGTGTTTTTCTTAATTTTGTACGCACTAACAAAACGATTCTTCAAATAAAATTTTAAATCAAGTTCCAAAGAATTTTCAAATTAAATAACAAATGAGATTAATTAAATGATCCGTCAGTAAAATTTTGAATAAATTAGCGTGAAACCTAGCGGTTTGATTCTGAAAGAAATAAGCATCTTTGTGAAAGCCAGTCGAGCCAGTGATTAACATCCTGAAAGATAAGCATACAACAATAGAAATAAAAACAAAAAGTAAATGCAAATCCTTTCCGTGAATGCGGTAAATTTAAGAATAGCAATTTAAAGTGCAAAGGGCAGCGATTTAAAGAGCAGTAAGGTCTGGTGCAGTATTTAAAGTGCAAACAATTAAAGTGCAGTAATATGATACTATTATTATATGACACTGGTGCTGAGGGCAATAAACTCATTAAGATACATATGCATTAACAAATTGAGATTATGTACAACAGAATAGACAATAATATAATAATATAATAAATATGCAAAATACAGTAAGGTGA